TCGACCAAGGCTACGAAAATTCGAATTCTGAAGAATCATCTGATGAAGAAAATAACTTAGTGGAAAATGAAAATTGTGAAAATTTAAATAATAATCAAGAAAAATATATTATTGACTGTAGAGACCAATTACCAATGCGAAGAGACAATCTAACCTATTTTCTTTCAGTTGAGGGAGATCCTCGAGATAATGGCTCCAGATCATTAGCCAAACGCGAAAAATTGCCAAATTTTGGTAAACTTCAATTAGGTTTAGCAGAAAAAATAAAGAGAGGTATATATTACCATATCGCTCTCCCTATAGAAAGTGAAATGAAAGAAAATTTATCTGATACAATAAAAAGAATTAAATCTACAATTATTTCAATGAAAAACTTATGTGAAGAATTAAAATTGAAAAGTATCAGTATTGCAAAAACAGCCCAAATAAACAATGTAACTTGGGACGAAATCCTATCAATGATAAAATTAATTTTTGAAAATTCATTTGTAAAAGTTGTTGTATGTAATGGATATACAAAATATCCTACTAAAGAAGAATATATGCAGTTAATCGAAGAAGCTCATTCAAGCTCAGTTGGAGGACATAAAGGTGTAACAAAAACATATGGAAGAATACGTCAAAATTATTATTGGGAAAACATGAAAAATAATATTCAAAAATATATTCAAAGTTGTCTCCAATGCCAATTAAAGAAATTAGTTAGAGTTAAAACAAAAGACCCAATGATTATAACAGACACACCAGGTACAGCATTTGAAAAAATTGCAATGGACATTGTTGGCCCATTACCAAAAACTAAAAACGGAAGTGAATATATACTAACAATACAAGATAATCTTACTAAATATTCTTTAGCAATCGCACTTCCAAATCATCAAGCTAGTACAATAGCTGATGCATTTATTAAAAAATTTATTTGTATTTTTGGATCACCTAAAGGAGTGTTAACAGATCAGGGAACAGACTTTTTAAGCAATTTAATGAGAAGATTAGCAAAAAGATTTAGAATACGTCAATTTAAAACAACTGCTTTTCATCCCCAGTCAAACGGATCAATCGAAAGATCTCACCATGTTTTAGGAGAATATTTAAAACAATTTATTAATAAAAACGAAGAATGGGATGATTGGTTAGAATTAGCCATGTTTTCATATAATACAAGCATTCATGAAGGTACAAAGTGTACTCCGTACGAGTTAATTTTTGGGAAATTGGCACGATTACCATCAAGCGATCCGCCACTTGAACACGAAAAATTAGAAACATATGATCAATATTTAACAAATTTAATAACAAGACTTCATGAAATGAGAAACATCGCTAGAGAAAATTTAATTTTAGCAAAAGAAAAGTCAAAATTTTATTATGACAAAAATTGTAATCCACAAAATCTTAAACTCGGAGATGAAGTATTTCTATTACATGGAGGAAAAATTCATAAATTTGCTAATCAATACACAGGTCCACACAAAATACTAGAAATCCTTCACAAAGGAAACGTTAAAATACAAGTTAAAAATAAACAAAAAATAGTACATACGAACAGACTGAAACTATCGCGAATTAAACAAAAGTAATAAAATATTTTTATAATACATATATAGTTTCATGTTTCAGGAAGGGACTTCAAAAGAAAAAGAAATTAATTTGTTTTCAATAAATGTAACTTTTATAAATATTAAGCAAATGTTTAATTATCTTTTTTAACTATAACAATAATATAATTTTAAAAAACATTACTTTTAAATATTCGCAAGTTTAAATTAAATTTTTATAATATTTTATCAATTTTTGATTTTGTAATGATTTGATCTTAAATCTTAAACACTATTCTACATACTTGTTTTGCACTAAAAGAAATTAAAACTCTTCTTTTTAACACATTAAAATAAACTCTACACCTTATTTAATATAATTTTATTAAAGAAGAATTTAAAATGGTATTGTTCAAATTTATAATAACAAAACAAGGTTACTTCGAAATTTTACCCTATTATTGACTAAAGAGTATTATCAAGAAAAAAGCTATTTAAATAGAAACAAGTATTACAACCACAGTGTTTAACAAACATCTTAAAAATGAAGTTTATCTGAAGCTCAAAAAAAAAATTTCCTTCCTTCTCAAACCCTTAATGATTTATGTCTAGATGTAACTTGAGAACGAAAGAGAATCGCATAAATGAAATAAATAAAAGCGACGGAAATTAAGAAATAAACATTTAAAAATTGTCATGTCAAAAAAGTAAAATGTGTCATTAAATATTTTCTGTTTGTAAAAGTAAAAAATTTTTGCTTATAAAGGTTAAATGATTTTAAAAATATATAATAAATAATAAAATATTTAAAAATCTCTAAATCTGCAATGAATTTAAATCATAAACAATTTTTTATTTTAGAGCAAAAATTTTGACATAGTTTTAAATCATGCAAGACTCAAGTTTCAAAACCAATTTGTAAAAATATTTTTTTTAAATGTAATTTCAAAGCAGACTATAAAAAATTTATAATTTGCATTTTATAAACATATTTTGTTAATCTCGATACAAAATGTTACGCAAAAGCAATCCTTTGTATAGAACAAATTATTTTTCTTTTTGTAGATAAAAATTGTAAGCATCAAATTGTATCAAACATAAAATTCATTATATAAAATTAATACATAAAATATTTACATAAAATTCATTATATATTGTAAATTTAGAAGATTGATTCAAAGAATATACATTAATAACAAAAATAATTATTGTAATGCAGATGAAAATATAAAAAATAAGATAAGTTTGAATATTATGTAAAGAATATAAAGAATAGATAGAATGAAAATATAAAAAATAAGATAAGTTTGAATGAAAATAATTTTTTCCCAAATATTATGTAAAGAATATAAAGAATGGATAGAATGAAAATATAAAAATAAGATAAGTTTGAATGAAAATAATTTTTTCCATATATTTAAAGAATGGATAGAATGCATGTATAAACGGTCATAACATTTCCTCTATAATATACGTTTTTGAATAAGTTTGAGCATGTTTCGTTTCTCTCCCATGCTCAATCTGAGAGGGGAGGTGTTACGTCCGTAACTTCTTAATATGCTTAAATTATCTATAATATTCAGGTGTGTATTTCTTTTAAACATATTGAATTATACATATATATTATACTAACGTATTTGAAATACGTATTCATACAATCTCTTCATATTATTGCATTATATTCAATATATTTAATAAGAAGGTAATTGTCATTATAAATTTGATATGTATTTAAACAAACTTATAAATTATAACAAATCCAAGAAAGATGGGTAATACTTTTCATGTAAAAAGAATAACGATAATCCATCAAACAGATTAATATAATCCCATAATCATTGGAGTGTATAAAACAAGCAGGCAGGTGTCTAATTTCTGGAAACTGAACTGAGAGGTACAACGGTCGCCCCTCAGCCCCCCTTAAACTATCGCTCTGGATTGCAACCTAGCAGCCACAAAAGAGAGAGACAACAGTCGCCCAGCAGTCACAACTGAGAGAGAAAAATAATCACTCCTCACGCCTCTTAGACAGTCATCACGGCATTGCAGCTAGTCGCTCCAACCCCCCTTAAAATCCAACCAACATCGACACGTGTATGATTCCAAAGAATTGATGAAGACAGTTTTATATAAAAGGGGATATGATTTCTACTCAAATCAGAGAGTAATTTTTTGGGAATCAACCAGTTTACATCGTCCAGTCAACGTTAGCACATCACATAGTTACAAGTGAATTCAAAGTACATCTTTGAAAAGTGAACAGTATATCTTCAAGTATTCTTTTCAAAGTGCATTGTTCGAAAGTGAACAATATATCCCCAAGTGTTAAAATTGAAGTGAACTGTAAATCAACCTTTTATTATACACCAATTTGCAAAATATAAATTTTAAACAATTTCCAAAATTATTAAATTGGAAATAATCTCAACAATCAAAGATCTAATATTGAAACAACACATTCCAAATTTCGAACCATCGAAATTTGCTCAAGAGGCGACAACCGTCTGGAAGAAAGCAGATATTTTCAAAATACAATACACTATCTCATTAGTGTAAACAAGAGGATTAATGCCCAACCATTAAGGACAACAAGCAGAAGGCCCCTTTTCGTCTAGTGCTCAACACCATTGAGATTAAACAGGAGATTATCATCACACCACCAGTAATCGTTATTCTTTAAGTAAGATTCATAATTTTGTACTCATTGTAATTTTGTCAACTCTTTTCTTTCTTGTTGGTTTTTAAATAAATTATTCTCTCACATTTAGTAGGCTCATTGACTTATCCTCATCCCAAATTAGATTCATTTATGAAACTAATTTAAAACGAGGAACGCTAGGTATATTTAAAAAGGTTTCTCGTTTTGACGTAACACGTGACTAAAAAAATAAGAATATTTTAATAAATCAACGAGTAAATTTTTGAAACCGAAATTAAAAAATAAGAATATAAAATCAATCGACGAGTGAATTTTTAAAACCGAGACTAAAAACACAAGAATATTTTAATAATTCGAAGATTATTAAAATTAAAAAATAACAATATTTTAATAAATCGACGTTCATTATGTTTATGTTTATATTATAAACAATCTACAGAACAATAATTTTGCAAAAGAACTTGCAAACCTAATTCATATCTTTTTTTGCTCATTTTTAGAAAATTTGGTTTTTTCTTGTAGAAAATCAAAAAAAGAAAAATTGTGTACACGGAGAAAAAAATCAGGGCTTTTTAGCATGGAGTGGTCTGTACCTTTAGCGCATGGGCGCTTTCTTACGGCGAAAGAACGAATTTGTACGATTGCAGCAAGAGCTCGCCCTATTTTAGTAAGGAGCCTTGCTGCAATCGTACGAGTTCGTTCTTTCGCCGCAAGGAAGCGCCCATGCGCTAAAGGTACAGACCACTCCATGCTACAAAGCCCTGATTTTTTTCTCCGTGTAGTAAAAAATATTGAATACTCACGGGAAGGTGGCTGGCGATAGTGTAGATGTTGCAAATTTGGTGGTTGGTGAAGGTGGTGGTGGTGTGGAGGTCCCATGGACGGTCCCATTCCATGGTTACTGTGCTGATGGTGTGGCGAGCTGCCTCTATGGGGATGATACTGAGACGGATGATGTTGATGGGGATGAAATGACGGTGGCAAAAATCCCGTCGTCGAGGGGTAAACACCTGGACTGTGACACGCTGACCTTCCCAAGGCTGCTGAAAGTCATTCAATTTTTTGTCAATATAGGAAGTCAATTTCGTAAAACTTAATAAAAAACTAGAAACGTGAATTTGTCTCTTCGAAAATTTACTTTTTTTTATTATTTTTTTTTACTTATTCCACTTTTATAAACTTTATTTATATTATATCTTTATGCCTCTTCTTTATTTCTTTATTATTATTATCTTGTAACTTATTATTGTTTATTACTTTTGCAAAAATGATAAATAAAAAAAAATTCTTCTTCTTACGCACTCTAAATTTGAATTTGTGCTTTGAAATTCTTCGCAAGAATTCAATTGTTTTCCCAGATAATAAAGTTCTTCACTTGAATTTAATTATTTTCAAAAATTTTAATAAATTCATTTCAAAAATTCAATTATTTCAAAAAAATTTCGTGAAAGAATTCAATTTTTTTCTTAATTAAGACTTAATTCTCAAGAATTCAATTATTATCCCAAATAATATAGTTTCTAACTAGAATTCAATTATTTTCAAGAATTTTAAGAAATTCTACGCAAAAATTCAATTATTTTCATAAAAACAGTAACATTTTTTGCAGTAATCTAACTTTTTTAAACAAAATTTTAAAAAAATTCTTTGCAAGAATTCAATTATTTTCTCAAATAATAAAGTTCTTCACTGGAATTCAATCATTTTGAAAAATTTTAAGAAATACTACGCAAAAATTCAATTATTTTCAAAACAATTTCACGAAAGAATTCAATTTTTTTCTCAATTCGTTATAAAATCTTTGCAAAAATTCAATTATTTTGAAAAAAATTTTCACGAAAGAATTCAATTTTTTTTCTTAATTCGTTTTAAAATATTCCGAAAAATTCAATTATTTTCTAAAATTTTAATACATTCTTCGAAAAAATTCAATTATATTTATAAATAGTAAAATTCATTGCAAAAATTGAATTATTTAAAAAAATTTCACGAAAGAATTCAATTTTTCTAACGTTTTGATTCGTTTTTTATCTCAATTTAATGTCCTTAGAAAAACTTAATAAATTAGTAAAAATGAATATTTATTAGTAAAATTTACTGATAAATTAGTAGGAATAACTATTTATTAGTAAAATTTACTGATAAATTAGTAGAAATAAATATTTATTAGTAAAATTTACTAAATTAGAAGTAAAAAATCAGTCAGTAATTCAGTAAATATTTTTACTACTTCAAATTTAGAGAGGTAATTATATTAATTAAGGGATATAGTAATTAACAATTACAATTTACAAATTGTAACGATTTTGAAAAATCCCTTCTGCACGAAATTACTACAATAAACATTATTACTTCTCTGAAACCGTTCAATTAAGATTCTCAAGACAAAAAAGTAATTTTTGCAAAAAGAGAATTTTTTCCTTTTTCTCTCTCTCTCTTTCTCTTTTCCTCGCTCTTTATACAGAAGGGAAAAAGAATGACGAGTGGAGGAATAAAACAAACATTTCTTAGCCACTGAGAGATAATTGAAGTGGATGAAAAGTTGATGGTTCAGAGGATAGTAAAGTGAATTATATTGCTTAGAAGAAAAGAATGTCGAGCAGTTAGAGAGAGAGTGGAATTTGATGGTATTTTTCTCCTTTTTCTCCTTTTTCTCCGCTGATGATGAGCTTGCAATTCACCAAGAGAGATAGAGAGAGAATGGTTTGCCTAGTTTCCTTAATCTCCCGTGTATACTCACCTGCTGTCAGGTGAGAGTGATGAGACGATGCGAGGCTCGGCTGGAGGGACGAGTTTGGATTGAGCCTTGCTTTTAAAAGGAGATTCGCGTCCTCGTTACCGCCAGAGGATGTGCTCGACTCAACGTCGCTGACTCCGCTGTCCGCTGGACTCGCTGGCAGTGATCCGCTTCCTGGGTTTTCCAAAATTTTTCCAAAGTTTTTTTTCCATTTCCGAAAACACAAAAGCAGAAAAAATTCATTAGCAAATTTATTTACAGAAAATTATTATATTTTTTAATATAAAACTGAGAATCATTTGTGACCAAAGATCACAAATTATTCTCAATTTTGTATTAAAAAATTAAGGTCTTTAAAATTAACCAATACAAAACCAATTAAAGAAAAAAATCCTAAAGTCAGAAATTTCAAAACCGAAAAGAATAGAAATTAATAAATTAAAAAAATTGAATTAAAGAAAAAATCCCAAGAGTCAGAAATTTCAAAACATAACTGAGGAGAATAAAAATAAAAAAAATTGTATTGAAAAGGGAATCAATTTTTTTAGAGGAAAAATCCTCGAGTTAATTTTGCAGAAAAAAATCGGAAAATTTGAATCCGATGAAAACAAGAAGGCAAAAAAAGAAAATAATTAACAAACGGTGACAAAAAAAATATAAATAAAGAATTGAGTGAAATCCGAGAAAATATCGACTGCCACAATTTCTTTGTATATATTTTCTATTTTCAAGACTTAATCTACGGAAGTTGTATTAAGTTGGCAAAGGTGTTCATTCAGTGGGTCGTAAATTAGCAATTTCTCGAGACTTTTCCATTTGTTGTAAGATCCTCAACGTGCGCGCGCGCGTATCCTGGAAGTGAAATTGTGAAATCAACGTTGGTTTCGCTTGGGTTGATTTAAAAAAAAAAAAATACACACATACGTCTTTGATAGTCTCTAAAAAAGGCACGTATACAATATTTTTCCATATTTGCGAGAGAGACAAAATAAATTCATTTCTCCTTTATTTATTGTTAAGGTACTACCTTTATCGAACGTCCAAAAAATGAAACGTGTTTTCTGTGCATCGCGTCAATTAAAGCTATCTTTATGCAACTTTGCGAAGGTCATCCGGTCATTGGGTATGCATATTAAACTCGACTTCCCACGGTACTGAGCTTAAACGTCGCTTTAAACCTGTCCTCAAGGGTTTTTGCACGAGCCGAATATATACACCACCATCGCGGAGAGATTATATGCGAGAGCATTAAAATTCTCATCGCGATGAGCTTTAAACTCCTGCAGAAATTGATTTTCGTTTTTTTCTTTTTCTTTTTTCATTTAAAGAGCCTGCACATTGACTTTTAACTTTGCGCTATTTTCGAAATTTGCAATAATCGACTGGAAATTCTAATTCAAATTGCTCAAATTATTCTCTATTCACTATATTCATTTTATTCATTTTGTTATTCACGCAAAAAGAGAAGATTCATTTTAAACACTTTTTTTTTTTTTTACTGAGAATATAAAAATTAAATTTTTTTAACTGCGGAAATATATATTTTTTACTTTTGCGGGAAAAACTAAATTTTCTTAAATATTTTTTCCAAATTAAAATTTAAAAAAAAATTCTAAACAAAATTCTAAAAAAAAAAATTTGTTTACCAATAAACGATAAACGAGGGAAGTGAATACAAATACAGTATAATTTTGCGACTACTTTCGTTCGATTTCACAACTTTCTTCTTTTCCTCTTCTTTCAAAATATATTCGCAACAATGAAAATCAAGTTCATTACGAGTATTAAAATATTAATTAATTACTCAAGCGTAAAATTCTGCGAAAACTGTGCGGGGATATTGTTCGACATTCATTTATTGCCCATTCGTTATGGATGTTTTATAAACTAAAAATATGGTTTTTCTCCGACAATATAATTATGAAGTGAGCCGTTGTATTTTATGCGAAAACTCCTTTCGCGACAATTACAACTTCCGGTTATTGCTAATTCTGACAGTCGTATTCTTCATTGAAAACAATTAGTTTATAGCCAATTCACTTAATAAATTATTGTATAAAATTAATTATATCAATTAACAATTTTCTTTAATTTGCAATTTGATTATATAACTAAATACATTAACTTAATTATTAATTAGTTATTAATTTCGATCATAATTATGAGTTATAATTATGACTCATAATCATAAAGAATTAATAAATATTATTAAAAAATAATAATTAAAAAAATAATATTTATGATATGTAATAAATAACTTAAATTCGTTTAATTAGCAATTAATTCAAACAATAATTTTAATTAATCAAGAACTTAATTATCAATTTATATTGTTGAATAATATTTCTTTTATTCCATTGAATTATTTTTGTTTATGTAATTTTTAACTAATTTAATTCATTTCATTTTTTTCTACATTTTTTGAAAAGAGTTATTAAATTATTCATGAAAGAATAAATTTAATTAACATTTTGAATTAACTAGTGATTAATTTAATTTTTTAATTTAATTTTTAAAAACTATTATCTAGATTTAAGTTAGTAAAATTGTTTAGGTACTAATTGAAATTAGTGACTGACTTTTTGCTTTCTAATTAGTAAAATTTACTAATAATTACTATTTATTAGTAAAATTTATTAATTAACTGACTTTTTGCTTTTGAATTAGTGAATTAGTGAATTTTATTAATTATTTAATAGAAATTACTATTTTTGAGTAAAATTTACTAATTCAAAAGCAAAAAGTCAGTCACTAGTTGAAAATAGTAAAAATTTTTACTAATTTAAATTTAAATCTACTAATTTTTATTTACAGAATTTTAGTTTTTGTAATTTATTTCTTAATAATTAATTTCTTAATGTATTTCATTACTAAAAATTGGTTTAAATGCATTTCTGATTGTCTATTCAATTTTATAATTTAATTTCAAAAACTAGTTCAATTTTTCGTTTTAATTTTTAATAACTATTTCAATTTTTTAAATTTATTTCTAACTAATCAAGTTACTAATATACTTTAACTATTACAAATTGGTTTAAGTATATTTTTGTTTATTCAGTAACAAATTCAATTTTTTGATTTAATTTTTAATCACTAATTCAGTTTTTTAAATTTATTTCTTAATAATTAATTTATTAATGCATTTTAATTAATGAAAATTGGTTTAAATTTATTTCTGGCTATTCTGTAACTCATTCAATTTTATTTTATTTGAATATTAAATTAATATTTATTTTAATATTAATTAATGTAAGTTTTAATAATTAATTAATGTAAATCGGAGTAAATGTTTTAAAGTAATTTTTAAGAATCAGTATACAATTAAACAAATTAAATTGTAATTAAATTGTTAATTATAATCGATTCAATTATTGATGCATTGAATAACTAATTATTACAAATTAAAAAAATGCAATTAAACTAAATTAAACTAATTTCACGTAATTAAATACCTATTATTAAAACGTAGGTAATAATTAATTAATAAAAATGAAAAATAACTAAAATGTGTGTATGATAAAAATAGATTTTTTTACTTTTGTTTGAGAGTTTTTGTAAAATTGAGAATGTATTGAAAAATGCGAGTCGAGATTTATCTGAAATTTCGGAATTGAAAAAAACAGTTTTTTCGCGAATGAGAAAGGAAAATGGAAGGTTTTTACCTGGAGTACTATTGTTTGCAATTGAGGCAGTGTAGGGTGGTTGACCCAATTGAGAATGATTGGCCATATGTCGGCCATAACCATTTTGCACACCCAGCGAATGCTGCTGAGAATGCTGGGAGAGGATACCATGCAGAAGACGATTTCCTGTCGTCGATCCAGGCTCAGCCTTAACAGGGGCCAAACCAAGTGCTTCCTTCTCTCCCGTGTCATGAGGCTGTATTTCCCTCGTGTCAACTGCAACAATAAAACAAAACCAAACAATTTAGATTTATTTTCAAAATTTAATTTTAATTCTACAGAGAAATTTCACTTCCTCAAATATTAATTAGTAATACTAATTAAAATACTAATTTAATAATAATACTAATACTAAAGTATGGTATTATTAAATAAATGGATTTTTTTATAAACGATAAAATAACAAAGGAAGAAAAATCACCTCATGAAAAATTGCTTAATGTTGGGATTGTACAATTTTCCGAAAGTTACCATACACTGCAAGACGAAACGAATTATTCTCATTACAAAATATTTGTTAGGCATTAGGAAACATTTGAGGCTATTATTAAATAATAGTGTAGAAAAAAATATTTAATTCCGAGAAAAATATAAGAATAATAGACAAATATCTCTCACTCCCTCTCTTCTACTCTAAATAGTACATTTAAGAATTTGCGTCACTTTCGGTGACACACGTCCAATTTTTTCTTGCGTGTCGTGACTCGCCTTCCGTTTTGCGGGTATGGAAAGAAAAGAGACGAAAAAAAGGAAAAAGAGAAAAAAAATTAGTTCTCCAATAAGAGCCGCGGCGATAGCGCGTAGTCGCGGAGAGGAAGTGAAAGCCGTAGTCTCTCCTTGACCCACTGCAAAAGTTTCTGCCTTCCAGTGCCACACACCACCTCAGCGGTGTGCGCGCTTGTCAGGTTCATTAAGCAATTTCTCAACCTGTCTTTTTAATCATACCTTAAATGAGCGAAGAGGAACGTGTCATGGCGCTTTATTGAAATTATTTTATTAGTATGAAAAACATCGTGGAAAAAAAAGAAAAAAAATTCAGAAAAAGAAAATAGAAAAGTAATAGCGACGATTAGAAGGGAAAATTGTTATTATAAAGGCCGCTCCTCACGAAAGCTTGGGGCCAATCAGGAAGGTGTGCAGGCGCAACTCTTTTGATCGTTTTCATGACAATCGAGTGAGAGTGTCATAACACCGTGAGAAGAATCGCTTTTGCTCCTTGAGCGTGATATTGCAGAATAAACGCCAAGGCGAAAATCATCTTGATCTTTTCTCGGACCTCGAAATACCGATGCAAATATTATATATTTTATTCTTTAATAAACGTTATTATGCAAACGCCGTTATTTTATTACATATATTCAAATACCAAAACTAATAATAACTATTATATGCTTTCAAAATAAAATACAAACTAAAAATGGATATTGAAATAATCCATTATTAAATGAATAATTCGTTAATATTTATTTAATCGCTCGTTATCAAATAATAATTTATTTAAATCGAATAATTTTTCTTTCAATCAGAAAAATTACTATTGTTACAATTACTATTTACCACCACATTTGGTGTCAAAATAACACTATTTTAACACTGTGGTGGTAAATAGTAATTGTAACAATTTTTGTAAAGTAACAAAAATAATAATACTCTTTAGCAACTAAGATACTCTTGCAACTAAAGAATTGACTAAAAAAATCAAAAAATTTTAAATATATGAGAGTTAAAAAAAACTGCACAGTTGAGGAAAAAAAGACAATATGTAAAAGTGGGTCATTTGATGGCAAATGGAAAAATAAGCGGAAATTAATTTAAGAAAAAAGAGAAATAATTGAAAAAAAACAGTGAGGTAGATATTGATATTGTTCGTTTTCAATTTCTTTGTGTCGATTGTTACATTATGAATGGAGGAGAGAAATTCTCATCAACGTGAAAGTATGTATAGAGCTATACTTGTTGAGTGCGAGAGAGAACAAGACTTCTTCAGGCGCTATTATGAGAATTCGTTATCATTCGAATTATCTTCGCGAGTGATTAATCGATTGAATTAGAAAGCAGATACGAGAGTGTACATCGGAAACGTAATAGGTGAGTTCAAGGTCTTAGAATTATACCGAAATACATATACATAAAGTGTATCATGTTATCTAATTTGTTACGCGATTTTCAAGATTGTATTATTTTCTATTGTTTCTAGACAATAATTTTTGGATATTTTTAGAAAATAATTTATTTAGGTCCTGTTTCTGGTTTTCATTAGGTCATCATTACTAGAGTCACAATGTACGTTCGTAGATTATAAACAATTTCTATTTTTATTATTATTATATAAATATTTTTTATTGACATTCTGACGAATGTCAATAAAAATTGTTTATAATAATAATAAAAATAATATTTTTTCAATGACTGATATAGTAATAATGATTGCAGTCACTTATAAAGATTGTAACTCCCAATGATTGAAACTTCTAATAATTGAAATGTCAGATGATTGAAAGTTCAAATGATTGAAAGTTCCAATGATTGGAAGTTTCAATGATTCAGAGTTTCAATGATTGAAAATTTCAATAATTCAGATTTCTAATGACTGAAAGTCCTAATGATTGAAATTCCATATGATTCAAACTATTAATGATTGAAACTTCCATTTATTCAAACTCTTAATGATTGAAACTAGGTCTAATTGAAACTTCAAATGATTAAAACTCTTAATGATTTAAACTTCAAATGATTACAATTCGAATGATTCAAACTCTTAATGACTGAAACTTCAAGTGATTTCAAGCTTCAATGATTGAAACTTTTAATAATTGTATAAGTTCCAATTATTAAAACTTCAAATGATTTAAAATCTTAATGATTGAAACTTCAAACGATTACAAGTTCCAATGATTGAAACTTTCAACCATTGAAACTTCCAGTGACTAAAACTTCTAAATTGCAAGTTCTAATAATTAAAACTTTAAATGATTCAAACTCTTAATGATTGAAACTTCAAATGATTACAAGTTCCAATGATTGAAACTTCAAATGATTACAAGTTCCAATGATTGAAACTTGAAATGATTCAAAATTTTAATTATTTAAACTTCAAATGATTAGAAGTCGTAATAATGATAAATTCCAGTGATTATAAGTCCGAATGATTGTAAGTTCCAATTTTTGGAACTTACAATCACTGGAATTTATATTTATTATAATTAAAATGTATAACTACAACTTCTCTTAGGAAAACAAAGTTTTAAAATAAAAAAAAACACTTTGGAAAAAAGAGTAAATCTTTGAAAATTCGCAGCAAATGGAAATTTGCATAATTAATGATAATTACCCACAGGTACAATAAACTATAATAATGAACATATAGCAGAAAAGTCCCGTATTTTATATATAAATATTGCAAATGAAGTTGGAAGTGTAATTGTTCTAATATGGGGAAATAATACGGGAATAATAATTTTTTTCCCTCTTCTCTGTTTCATATTCGACTTGCTGCACTATATACACACACACGTACATTGAAACCGTAACCAATACGATTATGGAAGTTGGCGGATATAATTGCTTGATTACTATGTAGAGTTTATATAGTTCCCTGTATTATAGTTTGAAGAGAAGTTCTTCTGTCCGAGTGCTCCTGGGGTTACTATAAAGTCGAGAAAGACGATCTGAAATTCACCCCAGATATTGTATATTCTATGTATATATGAGGGTTGGATATTCGAGAAAGTCAGACGTGTTTTAGTTGTCCTGGCAAAACGACAAATAAAACACGCGGAATAAGTATATGCAGTTGATGTGAAAACCGCTCGTTTCCTTCCTCACCATATACGCGCGCTGCTATTACTCTCGTGTCACTTAATTATTCATCAGTTTCGTGGAAAATATTGCCGGGAGAAAAAATTTCAAATTCATATTTCTCGGTATTTTTATTTTTATTTTTAATTTTATCCTGGCGACAAAAAAGTGTTGTTACTTGAATGTGAGGAAAAAAAAAGTTGCGGGACTTTCGATATTAGTTGGAATTTAGAGAGAATTATTATTAAGTGTTTGGCAACAAGAAACGATTATTTCGTTTTTTGTAGTTTTTGAATTTTTGATTTTGGTGACGAAACTTCTTATCGTTAGAAACTTCCATTGAATTTTTATTGAAACTTTATTAGAAGTTGAAGTGAACAACACTTGAAGTGAATTGTTTTGAATTTTCCAACTTGGAATTATTACAGAATGTACGATTATTGAATGTTGCAATCGTAAGTTGCAACTCTTGTAAGCTGCAATCGTTGTAAATTGCAAAAGTTTTAAAATCGAAAGTTGTAATTATTTGAAGCTGTAATTGTTTCAAGTTGCAATTATTCGAACTTACAATCACTGGCAGTTCCAATCTTTAAGAGTTGCAATCACTGGAAATTTTAATCACTCGAAGTCTTAATTATTGCATTTCAGGCATTTCAAATTTTAATCTTCCGAAGTTTTAGCCACTGGAAGTTTGAATCAGTAAAAGTCTCAATCATTTAAATTTTCAAAATCATTATAATTTTTAGTTATTCAAATCTTAAATCATCAAAAGTTGTAATCCTTCATAGTTTAAATCGTCCGAAGTCGTAATTACTAGAAGTTACAATCACTGGATGTCCGGATCATTAGAAGTTACAATCATTGGAAGTCCGAATAATTAGAAGTTACAATCATTGGTAGTTCGAATCATTAGATTACTTTCAAGTATGAAAATTAATTCGTTGAAACTTCCAACTAAGAATAAAAAATCCTTGAAACTTCCCATCATTAGAATTAAAAATCATAAAAACTTCCAATCATTAGAATTTCCAAAAATCATTAGCAGAACTCGAAATAAAGTTCACAAAGTTCAGCTATAAATTATAAAATTTACTTTATAAATTTTTCTTGTGTGAGAATTTGCAGAAAGAAGAAAAGATATTTATTTCTGCGAAAACACCTGTTTCGCGAGAATGTTTCACATCTCCAGCAGTGTGGAGTGTGAGAGATGTGTGTGTGTACATTAAACCGACATGTTATATACTCTGTACGGTATGGAAGGCGAAAGTCAGGGTTGGATAGGTCTGGGTCGATCAATAATACATACGTGTAGTAACCAGAACCCTCTTCGACACCCTCTCATTTCCCGATACCAGCAAATTATCATGAAAGCTCTCGTCTCCTATAACCTCCACCCCCACCTCTCTCTTTCTTTCTCT